GATGCCCCACCCTTCTGTACATAGGATGCCCCGCCCACATGCACAGCAGATGCCTCACCTTTCTGTACGTAGGATGCTCCACCCACATGCACAGCGGATGCCCCGCCCACGTGCACAGCGGATGCCCCACCCACATGCACAGCGGATGCCCCACCCACATGCACAGCGGATGCTCCGCCCACATGCACAGCGGATGCTCCGCCCACATGCACAGCGGATGCCTCCGCCCACCTGTACCGAGGTTGCTCCGAAGTCTCCGAGGGGGACCGCTCAGGAATGGAGAGGGATGTGGATGACAGAGTGGTGGCAATGGAAGCTGTAGTGGCTTCTTCAAAAGAAGGTGGCGTGCAGGGCAGAAGGTCAGGCCGGCCTGTGGGGAAAGGACTGTGGGTACCTTGCGGAGCCTCCAGGCCCCCAAACACACACAGTCGATTCTCCCTGAGGCTTGGCTCACCCTGGGAACCCACGCCCAGTGCCCGCCCGCCTCCTGGACATGCCCACCTCCCCACACGGCAGGGAAGGACGACCTTCCCCCTTCACACGAAGGCTTCTGACCGCTCTCAAAATAGAATCCACAGCCCTACACAGCCCAGAGGGCCCTGTGCCGCCTGGCCCGTCACCTCCCTACCCTCTCCCCCCACCCTCTTCCCCTCCCCACTGCTCTCTTCCCCTCTCCCTCTCTTCCCCTCCCTGCTGTTGGCTCCTTGCTGTTCCCCCAGCAGTGTGGTCCTGCCCCAGAACCCTTGCATGGCTATGTCAATTCCTTCATTCTGTCCCCTGCCCTCCCTGACATCAGACGTAGCCTGGGGGCTGCATGCCTTCGATGGCATCCTGGTGCGCCTCAGATAACAGTGACCGTGAGAGAAGGCGGGAGCTGTCACCACCCCACCCAGTGGAGCCTTCTACACTCAGCTCTCCCTGGGCTCTTCCCTGGGGCCGTCCCAGAAGCCCCCAGTCCCTGGGCAGGAGGTTCTGCAGATCGCAGATTCGGAGGGGAAGACTGAGTGATGAGTACTCAGGATGAGGCGGCGCCCCACCCACTGGGCTGCTGCTGACACACCCTGGAGCCCCCACAGGCGCACTCTGCCCTCTGCCCCTCACCTTCGTCCTCCAGCGTGGGGTAGCTGCGGGCCCCCCGCAGGTCGTACTGGGCCTCCTCCCGCTCGCTGGGGATCTGGCTGGCTGAGAAGGCAGCTGTGGGCCCCAGGGGTTTCACAGCCAGCAGGGCTCCGCCACGCCCCTTCTTGGAGGGCGAGGACTTCAGGGCTGCAGGGGAGGGTGGGTGTTAGCGCTTGGGGTTGCTGGGGACTCATAGCAAAGCCCAGATAGGGTCGCTGCCCGAATATACCCGTGTCCCTGAAACCCACCAGGCCCCTGCCCGTCCCTGAGGCCGAGAAGCAGCAAAGCCTCTTGGTGGAAAACCGGGCTCTGCCCGGGGAGGGACTGAGAGCCTGAGTTGCCTGTCCTGCCCACCCAACCGTCTCTATGAGACACACTGGGACCCTGGCACAGTGCCTGCCCCTCCCGGGGTCCTGCAGACCTGTGACTCCCGTCTATCCAGCTGGCCAGGGATGCCTGCAGGCTTTATCCCCTTCCATGTGGGGCCCAGCCCGGGCAGGGCCCCATTTTCAGATGGACACTGACAGTCTTAGACAGCACCACGCATTGCGGTTAGAGAAGCCAATGGTTCAGCATGTAGGGCCTGAGCCCAGATCCAGGCTCGCCCGCTGGCTGTGTGGCTCAGTCTCTCTGGGCCCCGTTGGCCGATCTCAGCAGTGGGGTGTGGTGCCGCAGGTGATGCCCACACAGGGCCGGGCCTGTCCTCAGTGTTGTGCGAGCTCTGCCTCCTCACCAAGCTCTTGTGACCTCTGCCCCCAGAATGACCCACACAGCTCCTGGTAAACAGTAGGTGCTCAGTTTGCCTTGTGCAGCTTCCTACAGTCGCCAAAGGCTGGCAAACAGCCCTGGATGACTGGGAATGATCCTGTGGCATCAGTCCCAGAGGGTGGGGTGCGGGGACAGGCTCGACAGCCAGCTCTCTGGAGACAGATCCCGATGCGTGGTGTCTGCCAATTCCCACGGTGTCAATGAGAGGGGGTCCCTGGCCTCGGGGCCGGGAGCAGGTGTGCAGGCCGGGAAGAGCAGCCTGACTGCAAGTGCTGGGCACTGGCATGCCTGTCCCTGCTGTCTCCCAGGAGCAACCCCGTGGGTGCAGACCCGCAGATCATTCATGCCCACCCGACACTTCCCAAGCACCTCTGTGTGCCAGGCCTGTGCAGGATGCTGGGGAGCCCCAGAGCCTTCTACTGGGGAGGGTGGCTGAGAAACAGACCCCAGGGAGGAACCCGTCTGGCAGCAGGTGGGCCACGGGCTGAGGTCTGTGCAGGGGCCTGGAACCCTGAGTCTGCGTCCAGATGCTACAGTGGCCCATGAGGGGAAGCTGAGCCCTGAGAAATGGGGACCTCCCCTGGGTACCCTGTGGGTGAACCCTGAGTCCCCACCTTCCCCACCATTGTTTGCCCTGTGACCTCCCCGGCCATGCCCTGGTAAGCCGGCCTCCTGGGTTCCCTGCCCGGGATGCGTTTCCGTGGTGATGGTGATGCTGTTGGAGCCCCACACACTGAGCTGCCTGCTGGGCCAGGCCCGCCCATCCCATATATCAACACTGTACTCTCACAGTGCTGTGCCAATGGGGAAACCGAGGCACAGAGGGAAGTGCCTGTTCAAGGCCACAAGGCAGGACGAGGCCAGGGCAGGATTCAGGATTCAGGCTCCGGCGGTGGCTCCTGTGCAGAGCAAATGTCCCGACTATCCTGCCTCTGGATGAGGCCCGGTCTGAGGGGGACACAGGGGCTCTGGGTTTACTGCCTCCCCCAGAGTCCCTCCCGCCCCACGGGGCTCTCGGCCTCCCCCGGGGTCCCTCCCACCTCACGGGGCTCAGGTGGCTTACAGGAGTTCTTCCGAAAGACTGTGTTGCTCATGAACTTGAAAAAGCGCTCGGCATAGAAGCTGGGGCGGTGGACAGACACCGTGTCCTGGAAGAGAGTTGGGGGTGCCCGGGGGCAGAGGGCGCATTAACCAACAGCTGGAGACAGCCCTGGACAGACGCTGTATGTGTGCGGGGGGCACCTTCTGTGTGAAAAGGCTCGAGATGGGTCCATGGTGCTGTGGCTTCCTGGGAGGGGCTCACGAAACAGGGGACAGTGGCTCCCTCTGGGGAGGGAGACTGGGTGCCAGGGAATGTGTGGAAGTTTTTCCGCCAGAGACCTATTCGCATTTTTGACTTTTTCAACCAGCTCTGAATAAAGTATTCCGGCCAGGCGCAGTGGCCCACATGGACTTGTAGGGGAGGTTGAGGTAGGATGGTCTGGCTGGGGCCCTACTGGGATGTGACCCTTGGCCTCCCAGAATGCAGCCTCCTTTCCCAGCCTCCTTGGGTGAGGAGTGGCCACGTACCAGGACTGTGAATGACTCCACCCTCAAAGGCTGCAGTGGGAGGCGGTGCCCGGCCACTGTGGGCCAGGGGACAAGGACAACCCCAGCGATGTAGGGTGGCAGCACAGGACACCCTGGCCGGCCTCGTCAGAGCAAGACAGCACTCCTATCTGCCCTAGGCTCGGGTTCTGGGCCTTGGCAAGGTCTAAGACATCCCCAGAGGCCTCTGCTGGCCGCCACCCTGACATGCTCAATGCTTGTTCTGGAAGCTCCTGCCTGGACCTTCTACACACTCTTGAAAAATGGGGGTGCCTGTTGGGATCTTGGATTCTACAGGCTGTTAGTTAGTCCTCAATGCTCAGCCCCAGGAGGTAGTCTGCGTTTGTGGAGCGATGGATGGGAGGAAGGCCAGGACGACCGACAGGAGGACAGAGGAAGGATGGGAGGAGGGGTGCAGGCGCTCACCCCATCATGGACGAGGGCCTTCCAGGTGTGCTCCAGCTTCTTGATGAACCTGTGGAGAGAGCGCCCGGAGTGGCAGCTGACATCAGCCAAGCCCTTGCCAGGCCGCCTCACTCAGGGGCCACTGTGCACCCCCGAGGACACTGGGCCATGGCCTTGAGCAATCGTGGCTGTCAAAACCCAGGGTGGCAGGCGCTCCTGGCAGGCAGTGGGTGGAGGCTCTCTGCTTAGTACCCTGCAGTGCCCAGGACGGCCCCACTCCAGAGAACCATCTGGTCCCAATGTCCACAGTACCGAGAGAGTGACCCTGTCTTTCAACATTCTAGAGCCCCAGCCAAGCACGGTAGCTCACACCTGTAATCCCAGCACTTTGGGAGGCCAAGGTAGGTGGATCACCTGAGGTCAGGAGTTCGAGACCAGCCTGGCCAACATGGTGAAACCCCGTCTCTACTAAAAATACAAAAATTAGCCAAGCATGATGGCGCGTGCCAGTAATCCCAGCGACTCGGGAGGCTGAGGCGGGAGAATAGGGTCGACTCAGAAGGCGGAAGCTGCAGTGAGCCAAGATCGCACCACTGCTCTTCAGCCTGAGTGACAGAGCGAGACTTTGTCTCAAAACAAACAAATGAAAAACCAAAAAACAAATATTGGAGCCCCAAAGGGAGGCCTCAAACCCACTCCTTAGATTCTCTGTTTCCTTTTTTTCTTGAGACAGGGTCTTGCTCTGTCACCCAGCCTGGAGTGCAGCGCGGCCATCACAGCTCACTGCTGCAGCCCTGAACTCTTGGGCCCAAGGAATCCTCCTGCCTCAGCCTCCTGAGTAGCTGGGACTGCAGGAGCACGCCCAAGCTCGGTTAATTTTTTTGATACTTCGTAGAGACGGGGTCTTGCTATGTTGCCCAGGCTGGTCTCAAACTCCTGGGCTCAAGCGATCCTCCCGCCTCGGCCTCCCACAGTGCTAGATTACAGGTGTGGACCACTACGCCCAACTCACTCTGGATTTTCAAGGCGACCAGACACCTTCCTTTAGGGCTCAAGAAGGGGCAGCCAAGCAAGAGCTTTCCAGAAGGTTGAGGAAGCCCCGAGAGCTGCTGGTGCAGCTGTTTCCACAGGCAAGCGCCTCTGTGCATGGGTGTCCTGGGGGCACCCACCCACCTGTGGGGCTGCAGACCCGGGGCATCCACCTGTGGGGCTGCAGACCCGGGGCGTCCACCTGTAGGACTGCAGACCCGGGCACCCCCCTGTGGGACTGCAGACCCTGGCACCCACCTGTAGGACTGCAGGATATCAATGATGCCAATGTGCAGTAGCAGCCGCTCCCCGCGGCCGTTCACAGCGGGGATCCCGCCCATCCTGGGGAGAGAGGAGGAGGGCACCGTCAGCATCCCACAGAGGCGGGACTCGGGGCAGGCAAGGCTGGGGACTCCGGGGCTGGGGAGCCCACCTGCTCCCGTGGGTGGCAGCTCGGCCAAGCTCTTGGAGTGGGGCCTGGCACCCGGGAATCTCCGTCCTGATGTCCCTCCATCATCCCCAGTCTCAAACCCAGGCCCAGGCGCTGCTGAGGAGTCCCAGCTAGGAGGCCCGGGCACATACCCTGCCACCACACACGTGTGCATGGACACACACATGCACACACATGTACGTGCACACACATGCACGCTGCATGCCCAGGTAGGGCCACGGGGTCTCAGGTACAGCCTGGGGAGTTAATTGTCACCCGGCACCATGCCCAGCGCAGTTAGTGAGGCCACATGTGCAGCAGCCATCCTGAAGCCACCAGGAGCCAAACCCGCTGGGCCGGGGCCCTGCACGCTCTGCTCACGCCACAGGCTGGTGCGCTCACCTGCTCCCCTGCCAGGCCCACGAAGACCCTACAAACGCCAGGATGGTCTGAGGGGGAGCTGTGCCTGGCCTTGGCTCCCGCACTCCCCACAGCTACACCCTGGTTGGGGCCCCGACTCCTCCTCTGCCATCCATGGGAAATTCCACCACCTTTGCAAACCAAAGCCCAGCTGGTGGCCTAGTGCAAGCCAGCACCGCCCCTGGGGCCAGGCCAGGTGGAACTTGGCTCCACACCTGCGTGGCTCCGCTGGGGAAGGCTGCCCCCCAACCTAGGAGCCTACTTCCTCAGCTGGAAACGGGGGAAGCCCACCTCCCTCCTCCAAGGCTGCTGTGAGGACCGAACAGGTACCAAAGTGAAGGCTCGGGCCTGCCCCCACTGTCAGGGTGCTGCTGTGACCAGGGCACAATCTCAGCACTGCTATACAACACCTGTCCAACCCGCCCCCTGGGGCCACATCTGGGGACATCTGTGGTTGTCACAACTGGGGGGTGCTCCTGGCCCGGAGTGGGTGGAGGCCCAGGACGCTGCTCAGCACCCTGCAGTGCCCAGGACAGCCCCAGGACAGTCCCATACCAGCGAATGACCTGGCCCTAACATTCATAGTGTCCCAGAAGGGCTCTGTGAGAATCTCCCCAACCAAGCCCCGAGCCCTGTGAGGGCAGGGCCGGTCTGCTCCCTCCGCCCCTAGCGTCCAGCAGAGACATAACTGTAGGCCACTGAGGTGTGGCCTCCTCTCTCTACCACTGTTCCCATCTTCTGTGGCAGCATTTTTTTTTTTTTAAGACAGAATTTAGCTCTTGCTGCTCAGGCTGGAGTACAACAGCTCAATCTCCGCTCACTGCAACCTCTACCTCCTGGGTTCAAGCAATTCTCCTGCCTCAGCCTCCCAAGTAGCTGGGATTACAGGCATGCACCACCATTCCCAACTAATATTTTGTACTTAGTAAAGGCAGGGTTTCACCATCTTGACCAGGCTGGTCTGGAACTCTTGACCTCAGGTGATCCGCCTGCCTCGGCCCCACAAAGTGTTGGGGTTACAGGCGTGAGCCACCGTGCCAAGCTTTTTTTTTTTTTTAAGACAGGGTATCACCCTGACGCCCAAGCTGGAGTGCAGCGGTGTGATCTCAGCTCACCGCAACCTCCGCCTGCCACGCTCACGCCTGCCACACCTTCAGTCTCCTAAGTAGTTGGGACTACAGGTGCACATGCCACCATGCCCAGCTAAGTTTTATATTTATTGTAGAGACGGGGTCTCGCTATGCTGCCCAGGCTGGTACTGAACTCCAGGGCTGAGGCAGTCCTCCCACCTTGGCCTCCCGAAGTACTGGGAGCACAGGCATGAGCCACCGTGCCCGGCCAGCAGTCACTTTGATCTGTGTGGAATCAGATTTTGCAGTCCCTCCTGTTCGTGGGCTGTGTCCTGCCGTGAGCCCTGCCTCGCCCGATCCCTCTGGCCTCCCATGCACCTTCCACACTTCTGTGGCTCCTGTCTGCACGGGCAGCGAGTGGACCCCTCTGAGTGCCACGGGGAAACGCTATCTGTATCTCATTCCTGTGGATGGCCAGTGGCCTCGGCCCACTCACGGGTGAACGGGAAATGCTACCACCATTGCAAGCCAAGACCCGGAAGCCAGCACTCAGCCTGCGGCCCGCACTATGGCCTGGCTTTGCTCTGAGGCCCTGGCGTGAGGCTCTCAGACTCTGTCTGTCACCATGGATGCCCTCGCCAGTCCTCCCTGCCTGTTTTCGCTCTGAGGCCCTGGCGTGAAGCTCTCAGACTCTCTCTGTCGCCGCGGATGCCCTCGCCAGCCTTCCCTGCCTGTTTTCACACTTGAGCCGGGGATGGGGGACCGGAGCCTGTGGGGAAGGGAAGCGGGACGGGTTCGCAGGCCCCCCGCCCACCTACGTGTCATCCGACTCAATGGGTTCTCCGCGCGCGGCACCGCCCTGGATGGACTCCATGGCCGTGGAGTAGAGCGCCTTCTGGCCTACTGGCCGCTTCTCGTCCGAGGTGCCCCGGGCGCCCTGCGCCTGCCGCTCACGCTCGTGCTGGTCGATGTTGTGCACACCCAGCAGCAGGCTGTAGTCCATGATCTTGAAGCTCTCTAGGACCTGGCGGGACAGACGGGCAGGAGCACACCATGCCGTCAGCTGTCTCCACCCCCACCACAGCTCCTGGAGCTTATGGGGGCCTCAGCCTGGACAGCTCCGTGGGCTCGGGTGTGAGGGATGGGGTCCCACGGCCATGCAGGGGTGGGGGTTCTAGTATTATCCCGAGGGATGGAGGGGCTGCGGTCACACAGCGGCATCAAGGCGGGCCAGAGTGGGGCTTCCAGCCTCACAGCAGGCCGCCCCAGGCACTGGGACGGGGACTCCCTCCCTGGCTTTGCTCCTTCCTGAGAGACAGGGGGGCCAGGCCTATGCTCTGACCAGCCCAGGCCTGTGGGCAAGGACCTGCCAGCCTGACAGGTGACACCCAGGTGCGTGGATGCCCAGGGTAGCCTTGAGGCCCCTGAGTGGTCTGCACAGTTCTCTGGGGGTGTGGGTCAAGTTCTCAAAGGGGTCGGGGAGCTAGGGGTGGTCAGCAGGAGGGCCTGGGTGGAATGGGGGAGCTGGGAGGTCCCAGGCTCTGCTCCTGACAGGCTGGGGCCTCCCTCCCTGGCTCCATGCCTCGAAGCTGCCGGGGTGGGGCGGGGACGATGGAGCTAACACAGGGAGAGGAAGAGCTGCGTGCATCGTTCTTTCCCTAATACAGAGCCAGTGCAGGCTCCACGGGGACAGGAGCCAGACCCCCCACCGGACAGACATGGGCCCTTGCCATGGCCTGCAGAGCGGGCAGTCATCCCATTTGATGGGTGAGGAAACTGAGGCACGAGCTCTCATGGCTGGCCGGGAGCTCTGGGCTCGTGACCACAGCATCTGAAGGCTGGGCTCTCTTCTTGGGGGGGTGGGGGGACTCTACCACTGTCACCATGTAACCTCCAGAGGAACCGCTTCTTAGCGGTGCAGACACTCCCAACCCCCAAGGGCTGGGTCTGGAGACATAAGTTTCCTGTTTTCTTTGTGAGACAGGGTCTCACAGTGTTGCCCATGCTGGTCTTGAACCCCTGGGCTCAAGCCATCTGCCTGCCTCCCAAAGTGCTGGGATCCCAGGCATGAGCCAGTGTCCAACCACGTTTTAGGTGAAGGCCATAAAAGCCTGAGCTGCTTCCGGATCCCACGTTGGCGTGGGGCCTGCTGTGGGCTGCGGGGCAGCTGGGCCTCAGCCTGGCACCCTCCCTGGCCCTGCCTGCCTGGACCGTGGCCTCACCAGGCAGTCCCACCTGCCATCCTCCCTCCCCCGCCCGGGCCGAGCCCTCACCAGACAGTCCCGCTGCAGCGTCTTGACCAGGGCGCTGAAGGTGTCGGCGTCCAGCAGGAGCCCCTCGGGCATGTCCTGCATGAAGTCCAGGTCCTTGTAGGTGGGGAAGCTCTTCTCCTTCTCCTTCTTGCTGGCGCGCCGCTTGTAGGTGGAGCCCTTGAGGTCGAACTTGAGGTGCATCTTGACCACGCGGGGCAGGATGTTGTTCATGACCACCACACGGATGTTCTTGCCCCCCGACTGCACGCAGTACAGCCCGTAGAACTTGGGTAGCAGCGTCCGCGGGTTCTGGTTAAGGTTCTGCCGGGGGAAGAGGGGACGTCAGGAGGGCGGCCGGGCCACAGACCTGCGGGGGCGGGCAGAGCTGGCCTCTGCCTTAGGGGGCTCATGGATGCCCCTGGTCAGCCCCCCTCTCTCCCCAGAAGCCCTCAGGGACCCCTTTCCTCTGCAGGTGCCCAGCTGACCTTCCCACAGCACCCCGACTCTCACAGGCCACAGGGTCTCCCCGCCCAACTGTGAGCTCCAGGAGAGTCTGTTTCCACAGAGCCAGGCCCCGAGGCAGGCGCTTCGGTTCCATCAGAGGCTTCCACACTCCCTGCCTGCCCACAGGACATCGCCCTGGCTGGGCTTGCCTGTTGGGAGGTCTGGAGGCCGGAAACACAATGCTCTATCCTAAAATACATACATACACATACATACATGTATATGCACACACGCACACACACACATGCACATACACACAGTGTGCACACACACATGTATTTTCTTGAGACAGGGTCTCACTCTGTCGCCCAGGCTGGAGTGCAATGGTGCGCTCACAGCTCACTGCAGCCTCAACCTCCAGGGCCCAAACCATCCTCCCAGCTCAGCCTCCCAAAGTGCCAGGACTCCGGGCGTGAGCCCAGCCTCTATGTTGGTTATGCTTTGCTGTGTTGGACTGATCAACTCGGACCTTCACTCCAAATCTGGGTCCCCAGGCACAGGTCTGGGTCCTGTTCTGCCCTGTAGACCCCAAGCAGGCACTGGGTGACCCAGAGGCACCCAAGTGAATCAACAGCTCCCCCTGCCCAGAGCCTCTCAATGACGAACCCAGTGGTCTGCTGCCCAGGTTTCGGGGTTGGGATGGACCCACAGGGAGAGGAGTCGGGGACACGGCCTCAGGCACCAGCCTGGGCAGGCTCAGCAAACTCCAGCCCCTGGGCCAAATCTGGATGCCACCTATTTTTATAGGGCTATGAGCTAAGAATGGTTTTTCCAGTTTTAAAAAGTGGAGAGGGCCGGGTGCGGTGGCTCACGCCTGTAATCCTAGCACTTTGGGAGGCCGAGGTGGGTGGATCACCTGAGGTGAGGAGTTGGCCTAGCCAACATAGTGAAACCCCGTCTCTATTAAAAATAAAAATTAGCTGGGCGTGGTGGCACATGCCTGTAATCCCAGCTACTTTCGAGGCTAAGGCAGGTGAATCGCCTGAACTTGGGAGATGGAGGTTGCAGTGAGCCGAGATTGTGCCATTGCATTCCAGCCTGGGCGACAGAGCAAGACTCCATCTCAAAAAAA